GGACGAGATCATAACAAATTATTTTGTATATTTAATATTGTTTGTTGAAAATCAAAGTTCAACACATCTAACAAATATTAAAGGATCTTGTTTGATAAGACAATCATCCTTAATTTAAAAAAGTCATTTATATCATTTTGTAGAATAATTCGTGATGTATCAAATGGTATATAGAAAGTTGCATTTTCATCAAATTTTTAAGTTCTCAACAACCATATATCAGTTTGGCAATATTATAGTAATTGTAAGTAATTTGATCGAATATGAAATTTTGTTTAAAATTAATTCAATCATGTATATCTCATAATTTCCATAATACCTTTCTGTCTATCGAAAACCTCAGCATTTTTCTCAGTTTTGGTAATTTGTGGCTTTTAGAATGTTTTAAATTCTTCAATACGGTTTCACAGGACAAATGCGGCCAACCGTTCAACTGTCTCATGAATTGGATGCTGCCAAGTTCTATAAGTATATGAATTGATTGTCCTTTGAATTGACGTGCATCATACTCAAATCGTCTAATGAATGACCAATGGACAGAAAAGTATATCAGATTTGCAGTGAACATTTTTTTGAATGAAAAAGTTTCTATCTATTCATAATAAGTTTATCATGCCCTATGATTTAGCATATATAAATCTTTCAAACATAGAGCAAAAAATTTTCCTCTTTCAGATTTCTGGAAGAAGTATAGAAATGGGCTATAACAAAGATTAGTAGTTACTTTATGTTGTTCCTCATAAATTTGGGTTTTAAGTAGCCACATATGATTGGAATATGGAATCCTATTAGATTCAGTATATGTTCGATCTTCTCTAAAAATTAAAAATTTTACATGTCCTCGTACTTTTGTTCAGGAATCTGGAAGTGAAAAATATTTTTGCTATTTTCAAAAAATCTATATACAATAGACAGAAATTTTTTCATTCAAAAAAATATTTATTGTAAACCTAATATACTTTTCTGTCCATTGGTCATTCATTAGCCGATTTGACTATGATGTGCTTCAATTTAGAGGACAATCAATTCGTAAACTTATAGAACTTGCGGGTACACAACATATGAAAAAGTTGCACGGTTGGCCGCATTTGTCCTGAGAGCCAGTATTGAAAAATTTAAAATGTCTTAAAAGCTAAAAATTACAAAAGATAAGAAAAATGCTAAGGTTCCCGATAGGCAGAAAGCTATTGTGAAAATCATTAGATATACGCAATTGAAAACCATATAAAAACTCAATTGAATTAACTTTGAACAAAATTCTATATTTAGTCATATGATTCACAATTACTATGATATCTCTTAGCTGATGTATAGCTGATTAGAACATGAAAACTTGATGGAAATATAATATCCTATAAACCATTCGATACGTCACGAGTTACCCTACCAAACGACATTAATGAACTTTTCAAATGGAAGGAGATGGTCATCTTATCCGACAGCGTCCTTTCAAATAAGTGAGTTAAGAGAAATTTTCTATTAAATTAAATTGTATTGATTTAATATAAGCGATTACAATGTGTTTTTTCTTCCTGTCTTAGGAATTATGCTTCTAAGTTACAACAATGATACCAGTATCCAAGCTTCGTTCGATGATTGTTGCCATAACAAATGATTTATTTTCATCATACAAATTTTTTCTATTGTGTATGTGCATTTGTTTTTTTTTTATGATTTTTTTTCCTATTTTTGTTTGTCTTTCTTTTTTCTGAAATTCTTTGCCATTGTTATATCTTTATTTGTTTAAATTAGGAAAAAAAACCGAATAATAGGATATATGTTATGAATTGATTTTATATCAGTTAATCATTTTTTTTTTTTTGTTTTTTTTTTTTCATAAAATCATAGACTAAAAGAGTTTTTTGTAATGGATAATTTATCATATCACGGAATATCCGATTTTCTTCAAGAGTTCTTTGCATGTGATTGTATAATTCTACTTGTGATTTAAAATTGAGTACAGCATGAATACCATAACGACGAATGAGAATAGGTATACTTGCAAAGAGATTAACATTTTCCAATTCGATCTATATCAAATAGAAGAAAGAATGAAAGATTTGTTGACAATTAATAAGAACAAATTGTTTTAAGAAAATAATTATTTTATTGGAATTTTGTATCAATTTAACTAATTTAAATGTGATCGATTTTATACGAAATTTAAATAGAAAGAATTTAGATAGGAAATATAATGACAATTAGATTTTTTTTTTGTCTATTTATGGACCAAATCATTCGTTAGCGGCATCATTTCGTAAAATTAAAACACGTATATATCGAGATAATGAACTTTCCTAAAGCTATTTCTTATGTGTTGCATGTATATTAAGTTATACTAGATATTCTAACAGAATCAGCGCTAGAGACCTTCATTCAACGAAGTTATCAGTAAAAAAAAACTAGCGTTAGTGACATAACACAGAAAAGGACATTGACTTTCACTGCATGCATTTTAGTTTAACAAAAAATTTCGAATTGAGACACCATTTTTGAAAATTAAATGTAGACAATCCCTGAGGCTACAATATCTCTATTCAGAGTTTTTTTATGAGTATGTCTAGAGTTTTCAAAAAAATGTTCTTATTATCGAATGAGAAGTTCAAAACTAATTCCAAAACATCAGAATTTCTATGTCATGACAAGAAAAAGTTTTACTTCTGAACTTGATAAAGCTGGTTTTTAAAAGAAAGTGTTTTGGAAGCCGATTTTGCTGAAAATTTCATTATGAATGTGATTCGTGCCTTAGGGTCAATCCTGAAGTTTTCGATTGTTTTTTCTCATATGATTAGAGAAATATTTGCTAATTACTCCTTAATTAAGAGTCAGCTGGCAGAGCCAATATTTTTATATGCGTATGTTAAAAGGACCTATTCAGAAAAAGATATCTTATAAAGAATCAAAGCCAAATAAAAGATGGGTATGTTTCATTTTGCCTGAAATAGTCCTTATACAACTCCCACTAAGTTTTTTACATTTCATTTCCTATTGAGAACGTTTGTTTGTCAAAATCCTCCTCCACAAAAAAGATCATTCCGTGTCAGAAAAAAAAAATATTTTCTTTTGCTACAATCGATGTTTTTTTTTAATTTTTGTTATGTTTATTTTTAATTTATTACTTTATTTGTGAATTGTTGTTTGAGAAATGATTCAATATAAATTGATAAAATAAGCATTTCTTGTGAATTACTCATAATAGAACGAATGACTTGACATAAATTCATGCCTAAAGTATAGTAACATGGACGATGATATAATATTTGTAGATAATGCCATCCATTTAAATGTTTAATAAGTTGATCTTGAATTGATTGAAAGAGATTTTGTTGTGATTCAATAATATTTGTTGAATTATTCGAAATGCCTGATTCAATTTGTTGATAATGTTTTATTTGTTTGAAAATTTTATGATTGTTTTTGATCGATTGAAGAAGTGTACTCGAACGAATCCATTGTTGAATTCGAACGGATGTATTCTTATTCGTGTACAAAACAGGTTCATATTTTTTTCGATGATAAGAAGTAATCTTTTTTTGATTAATAGTTTGTTTTATGAAATTTTTCATATTTGAATTTGACAATGGCTTGGTTGAATATCTATATAAAAGACATCTAATCATTCGCTAACAAGGGAATCTCTTCCGCTGTCTTCTTTTCGTTTTCATGATATTTTTTTTTTGTTTGACTATAAATACTACATTATGTTCTAATAAAAATACGTTCCCTCGTAAGAAGACAAAATAGTATTAAATACTTAGGTTTTTTCATTGCTGTATCATTCTTAATTGTATTTAATTTTATTGGTTGATATTTATTTTGTGATGCATTGTTACTCATCGATTGATCGATAAAAATTACTTCTACTTCTCTATTATCATCTTTAGTTAATTTTATACTTTGACCATTTATAGTAATACTAGGCCAATATGGTTCTATTGATTTATCAGGATTTTCTAATATAAAACCAGTTATATGTTTACTTGGTATATCAAGTAATTGACTAATAGCATAACGTAATCGATGATTATAAATACTTGAACTTAATCCACATACTTGTCCAGCATGACAATGATTACCGGCTAATGATTTAACAACTAATGAATTGTAATCATATGGAGAAACGCCTAAAAAAAAAAGGATAATGAAATTAGTCGAATTTAAAAATACTAATAAGTACAAGACCTAACTATCAAAAAGACAGCATTTGGACTGGTCATAAGAAGACGTAGAACTATTGATGGATTACCATGAAGATTATTGATGAATTGTTGAGCTTTTTGTTTTAATGAAAATGTTTTATTATGTTGTTCCTTATTTATATTATTATTCATTTCTGTAATAAGAATAACATCCGATCGATATGTATATGCAATATCAGATGTATATATAAGATTGACTGAACGAGAAATAGGACAAAGTTGAAAAGCACAAGCAAGCTTTCATATAAAATAGAAAAAATAAAATTTTCTATCAAAAATTGAATCATACTATTTACATACATCATAAAAACACATTTTCATCTGTCGATTATAACATTGATCGAATACAACTATTTCACTAACATGTCGCTTTAAAGCCATAGTTAATGCACATATAAATGTAGTTCGATCTGTACCTATAATAGTTACTTTTGATTGAAGTTTTGTTGGATATGGTGTTAATTGTTTGCTTATTAAAAGAGTTTGTTTTAGATTTGAATGAATATTCGTATGTCTAGTTGATATTGGCTGTTTGATATGTTGTTGTTTTGTTTGATTTATATCCAAATGTAAACATTCTTCCAATTCATTATGGTTTTCATGCATATCATCAATAGTTTTATCAAACATTATTCAATGATATAACTATTTATTATGTTTCCCTAGCAATTTTATATTAAATCTCGTTTACAATGAGCGGGATATTTACAAATATGAAAAAAATAAAAATAACATAAAAATAAAAGTCTAAATTTTGTTTTTGTTTTTCTGTTAATATGTAAACAACTATCATTATAACGATTAATTTTCATAATACATAGAATAATCATCATAATTATCATTATCATCATTTTGATCTATATTTGTTTTTTGTATTGGATTTCGTTTATAGATTTTAATTTCTTGAATAGAATTATAATTTGAATATTGTTCTTGTAATTCATCATTTTCTTTATTTAAATCTACAACAGTATTAAATGGTGTTGTTGGTGGATCAGTTGGCATTGGTCGTTCTAATGTTCGATCTAAATGATTCCATACATCAACTTTATCCCAATGATTTGATTTAAAATAAGTTTTTCGATTATTCATTACACATGATGGACGTGTACATATTGTATGTGTACTTGATGATGTACCACGTGTAAGTGATTGTAAACTAGGTTGACTTGATGATATAGTTAATGTACTAACATCATAATCACTATTTATATCTTCATCAATATTTAGAAATTGTTTATCTCGAATATGTCGAGTATCAGATTTTGTATTGATACGTGTTGTTATTGGTGCTGATGATGAAAGAACAGCAAGACCATGAAATGATGATTTATTTTTAATATGATGTATTTCACGATTTTTATCAGAATTTAATTGATGAGAACGTTGTTCATGATCAAATGTTGTAAGAGAATGAACAGAAGAATGTTTTAATGAATGTTGTTTTGAATGTGGATTTAATGTTAATGGATGAAGATAAATACGACGAGTAAGAACATGTGAAGAATTTGATGATGATGATGATGATGATGATGATGATTGAGATTGATATGATGATAAGGATACTGGTGGATGACGAAAATCATGAAATGATTGACATAATTCAAGTAAAGTTAAAGTTTTTGGTTTTAATGGATAACGTGCTGTTGCAGATGCCATATGTAACTAGAATAATCGAAAGAATATTAGTTTGTTCTTTTTAGAAATTATATATGAATAAACAGAAAGATTATTCATGATGTTTTTTTTTGTTTTATGATAAAACTTATTGGTTATCGAATTCGTTATTCTATCATCTTATGAAAATTTGCTCAATCTATTTTTAAAGTCAATTATTCAAATCAAATTAATAAAATTTTTTGTTTTTTTACTTCAATATTATTTTATGTGTAAATAATGGAATAAAAACAATTGAGTCAATGTCGTTCTTACTTTCGAATTTGAATGTAAATTTTATTAGGATATATGTACAAAAAACATGCAAGAAACAAAAAAATAATATCATTAATGATCAAGACATGATGTGTCAAAAAAAGAAATTCATTGAATGTTGATTATTTATTGAGAAAGAAAAACATGTTTGAAAATTTCAAGTGTCTGTTTTTTGCTCTATACATGTTCTATATAGAATATAATAAAAAAAAAAGGGGCTAACATGATTCTTTTTTTTGTTATTGTATTTATTTGTTGTTTTGCATACATAAAATGTCCTTTGACTTATTTAAATATTCATAGGTGAATAAATTTTAATTTAATACAATAAAATATCATTGCAATGATACCACCGAAAAAAATAAGTAAAATAATAAAACTAATTAGAAAATATATAAAATTTCCAGATGATTTATTTATATTATTAACTCGAATTGGATTCATATGACTTTTACCAAGTTTAACAAAAGTTTTAATCCATTTATTAATTGGTTGAATAGTTTGATTAGTTAATAAACATTGACATATATTTTCTTTTGTTCTATATAGAAATGAATATTGACAAAAATTTCTTAATTCAATCTTTGTTATATATTTTGAACATTTATCAAATCTATTTGAATTATATTGTAGAAAATTTTTTCGTGTACAATATGAACAAATAAAACCATTAGTGAAATATTTCTCTTCAATATTTGAATAATTATTATATTGAGGTATTAAATATAGATTTGAATCTAAATTAAGTGATGATGGAATACATTTTGTTATATTAAAAAATGAATATTTTAAAACAATTGATTCCAAACATAGAATAGCTGTGCAAATAATTGAATCTGAACATGATAATTGAGAAAACGACATAAAGAAATTAAGAAAGATTTTCTATAAAAATGAATTAAGTACTTGATGAAAACGCGCTTATAAAAGAAAAGAGGATTTAGTTCTTTCATAATAGTTATCCAAATATATATAGAATAGAGATTAACGATCGTATGATGTCGCTTGAGAACATATTTAATAAAAGGTGTTAATAATCCATTGGCCGATCTTTTTTTGTGTAATTTTTAAAATTTTATTTCTGTTTCTTTAATTTCTAGATTAAAAAATTAAGATTTAATTTAATTTTTTCTATCTTATTTAAAAAATTAATAATGCCTAAGTCAAAATCAAAATCAAAATTAAACAAGTCAATGATTACATCAATAACAGCTGTTATTGAACTTTCAGAAGAACTTGAATCATCAAAATGTGAATATATATATATATATATATATATATTTTTTTTTAAATTTCTATTCAATTCATGTCTTTTAGGTAATTGTTCAACTGAAAAACTTCAAGTTCTTCAACAATTAAATTCTCAATCATCATCATCATCTGTTATTCCTTCTAAATTAAAGCCGAGAAAATCTTCTCGTAAATTATGTTATTCGAATATTCTTTCAGAATTATTTATTATAAATAATAATAAGATAAATGAACAAAAAGGTGAAATTTATTCAACACCAATTGCTAAATCAATTATACTTGAAAAACATGAAACATTTGCTAATCAAATATTAAAAACATTTGATAAAATAGATGATTTACCATATTGTTTTACAAAAAATAATCTTCAAACACAAATGAAATATCGAATGATTTCATTAATTGCTGATCCATTTTCTGATCAAGTAAGAAGAAGAAAAAAAGATAAAAGAGATGTGTCAAAATTACGGATCAAACGTCTCAAAGAAGCTGAATCTAGTTTTATTAGCTTGAGAATCAGTATTGAGCCCTGATTAGTTTTTACAAGTTTATTTTGTATTTTATCACGTCTTACTTTTTCATACCTGGGATCCCCTCAGGTATCGAAAACAATCTTTTTTTATCGTTGTTCTATTACAAGTCTTTATAGTTCGATAGTGTGTTAAGTATGCTGATTACAAATATTAGAACTTTTTTTCAAACGCACTCAGATAATAAGAAAGATCTGAAGTACTCTTTGAAAGCCTTAAACACTAGTTTTTAACCTAAAAGTTGATTTAGATCTGTCGAAAATAGATTCATTTGATGGAGAGTATCTTTCTCTATTAGAATCTATAAGAACTTAGATATTCAAATATTATTCTATCGATAAATGACAAATACCATTCAAATGTGGTCATATT